TGACTACACACCCGGAAGGACTGGCTGGGGCGTGCCACCCGCTCCTGTCCCCAGAGCTGGCGGTGCCTGCTCCCTCCCCAGCTCTTGCCTGCACCCCTGGCGCCTGTGAGCGCCCCTCACCGCCGCGGTCTGATGTGCTTGTCTCTTTGGACAGCACTCGGAGAAACGTGAGAAACGTCTGCTCAGCGCTTCCGCGTGCCACAGACGTTTGGAAAGGAGCCGCCTGGAGGCTCAGCTGGTGGGCGAGGCCCGTGGTCATTTCCGGCAGCGACTGGCGGTCCCAGCCGCGTCTGCAGGTTTCACTTTTGGGTCCTGAGCCCACAGTCGGCTGAGCGCTGCTTTGGAGGCTCCAGAGCTCAGCCCGGCAGCCCCAGCCCCAGTGACCTCACTTCCTGCGCCCCCGGAACCTGGGCAACAAGTTCAAGGTCACGGTGAGCTGCCCCGTCCCCCTGGCACCCGGGTGGCCCTGCTCGCTCACACTGGGTTAGGGGTGCCAACCTGGTCCCAGCCCCCTCTGATAACTCCCCCCACCCCGCCCTGATCCAGGCCCACCCGGGAAAGCCCAGGGCCCCTGGGAAGTGGCCCCCTCAGCAGCCAGACTGCAGGTTTCAGGCCGGCCTTGGAGGGGCCCTTGCCTGGGGCCCAGGTCTGCCTGGGTCTCTAAGCCCTGAAGCCTCAGCCTTAGACAAGTGGCTCCTGAGGCTCAGGACACAGAGGAGCCTGGCGTTCTGGGAGGCGGTGACTCTGTTTCTCCCTCTCCCCCTCCTCACTACCCTCCCCCCAACCCTTTGACCACCTCAGTCAGGGAGGCAGTGGCTGCAGCAGACAGAGCAGCGGTCTGGGGTCACCCCAAGGCCCCTGCCTTGCCCTGCCCTCCCTTTGGGGTGGCCCTAAGCCGCGTTGGGCCGACAAAGTGATGGAGGCCTGGCTGTGTGACCCGAAGCTGCCTGCCCCCTCACTGACTGCCCAGGGCTTTCCTGGGCGGCCCCCTGAGGGCTGTGGGAGAGGGTCCCCGGAGGGGCTCCAGGCTCCTTGGAGAGAGGGAGGGGGCGGCAGGGCGGACACGGTCCCTCTCCATGCTGGGTCGTGCCAGTCAGAGCGCCCAGGACTGACCCTGCGTGGCTCCGGAGGGAAACAGCGCCTGGTCCTCGGAGGCATCCAGGCGCCCACTGTCCCCTCCCCTCTGTCCCAGCCCGAGGCCGCCCCTCCGGGGAGCATGTCCGCCTTCGAGCGGGTGGTGAAGAGCGTGGTCCAGGAGCTGGACCGCCCAGGGGAGCTGGTCCCAGTGGACAGCCTGCGGAGCTCCACCAGCTTCCAGCCCTACTGCCTGCTGGCCAGGAGGCCCCCCGGCTCCAGGTTCTGGAGGCCCCGCTACAAGGGCATCAACCTGTCCATCAAGGACATCCTGGAGCCCGATGACCCCGAGCCAGGTACCGAGGGTGGGCTTGGGGGCGGAGCCTGTGGTCCAGGACCCGGATGCCCCCCACCCACCCAGCCACCTGGGCCTCAGGCTCTGTGACCCCAGTGGCAGCTCCTTTTCAAAGGTCCGGTTCCTGGCGGGCAGGTGGGCATGGCGGGCGGGGCCTCAGCTCCGGTCTCCTTCCAGCCGTCCAGTGCATCGGTCCCTACCAATTCCAAGACGCGGTGGATGGGCAGCTGCAGGGCCGCGTGGAGCTGAGCGTCCCAGGGCAGGGCGGGTTCTCGGGCGGGGCCTCCGTGTCCGGCAGCTCCAGCACCTCCATGAATGTGTGCACGCTGCGAGTGGACCCCAACACCTGGGAGGCCATGCACCAGAAGAGGTGAGCCCCCAAACCTGGGGCAGGCCCTGCAGACGCCACGTAGCACGGGGTCACGGAGGTCTGTGCTGGGTGCAGGGGAGGCCCAGGCAGGGGCTGCTGGGCCCGGCAGAGGGAGGGTGGCCGCAGAAGTCAGGGGACCAGGCCACAGAGGAGGCAGGGCTGCTGGGGGGAGCGGACATGGGGACACGGTGAGGGGTGTTACCTCAGAGTGGAGACCGAAACGTGAACTCAAGGGGTGGAGGGAGAGCAGCCCGTGAGCCGCCGGGGGAGGGGTGTCCACGTGTCCCTGCCGGGCCTCGGCCCTCCTCCCCGCACCGCACCCCCACCAGGACCTGGGCCTCCCCGGAACCCCCGGTCCCTCAGCCGCCAGCCCCTGTCATCCCTGCTGGGGACACAGAGGTGGAGGGTGGGGAGGCAGGCAGGTCCCTGGCGGGTGTGGAGCGGGTGCACCCTAACCTCCTGCCCACGCCCCCGCGGAGCAGGCACCTTCGGCAGCCGGAGCACAAGGTCCTGCAGCAGCTGCGCAGCCGCGGGGACGACGTGTTCGTGGTGACGGAGGTGCTGCAGACGCAGGAGGCGGTGGAGGTCACCCGGACCCGCCGGCAGGAGGGCTCGGGCCAGTTTGTGCTGCCGGGAGCCACGTGCTTTCAGGTGTGGGACGGGCCTGCCCAGGGCGGGGGAGGGCAGGGCCTGGTGCCAGGCAGACCTGAGCCCAGCAGCTCTGAGCCCAGCTCTGCCCTCAGGGCCAGGGCGAGGGCCACCTGAGCCGGAAGAGGACCGTGACCATCCCCACGGGCAGCGTCCTCGCGTTCCAGGTGGCCCAGCTGGTCATCACCCGGTCGGGCTGGGGTGAGCCGGGCTCGGGGTGACTTCTGGGCCCAGACTCCCTGGCGAAGACGCAGGGAGGCCTGGGAAGAGCCACGCGGGCTGCGGGGGTGCAGGCATCTGGCTGTGCAGCTCTCTGGGTCGGGGGGCCAAGGGTCCTGGGTTCTGGTGTGTGGGAGGTTGGGGTGCACTTGAGGGATGGTGAGGGGAGCCCCAGTGGGTGAGGGGAAGGCCAGAGCCTCGGCCAACCTGCCCCCCACCTCCGCTCCCACCCGGCTGCCAGACATCCTCCTCAGCCCCAACAAGAAGCAGAGGACTTTCGAGCCGCCCCCAGTAGGTGAGGCCCAGGGACCCCCAGCCGGGCCAGAGCATGGGGCAGGCTCCCAGCCACTGAGGCACCTCCTGCACAGCATGGGGCAGCCGGAGCCTGCAGCGGGGCATGTACACACACACACACACACACACACATGGCCTCGCCCCTGCCCTGGGCTCCAGTGTTGGGGTGTTGGGGGGCCGGGCTGAGCCCTGTGCTGACAAGCTCTGCCCGGCCAGGCAACCTGCTTCCCGGAGGAGCAAGCAGCCGGCCCCGGCGGCCACCCCTCCGCTTCTCCATAAGGTCCATAGCTAAGCAACTCAGTCTCATAGGAGGTCAGTACCTTCCTGCCCAGCCCTGGGGCACCTGGTGGGCTCCCCCTCTTCCTCCTGGGGGTCTCCCCGTCTGGAACAGGGCTCTCGGCCCTGTGGACACCCAGGCAGTGCCAGTCCTGTCCCCACAGATGGGCTGGAGGATGACAGGCAGGTGCCCGCGGAGGACTTCCCCAGCCTGCAGGTGCCCACGGAGGACTTCCCCAGCCTGCAGACGGAGGTGAGGGCCTGTGCCCGGCTCCTGGAGAGCCTGTCCGGGCCGCTGTGCGAGCAGCTGCTGAAGGGCCTGAGGCAGGTGCTGCAGGATGAGCCGGCCCTGGAAGCCCTGGAGGAGTTGGTGAGCAACCCTTGGGGGAGGGGCGGGGGTCCAGGGGGCAGGGTCTGCCCTGGCCAGCAGGCTCCACGGGCCCCCTGTGCCCGCAGCTGGAGCAGGGCCTGTGCTGCGGGCGGGTGGAGCCCCTGCAGGGTCCCATGGGCGACATCCTCGAGTGCCTGGTGCTCCCCGACCGGATGCTGGTGGAGGAGCTGGCCGGCCCCATTGCCTACCTGCTGGAAGCCCTGGCTGGTGAGGGGCCCGGGGCTGGGCAGGTGGGGCCGGGTGGGCTTCTCAGCGGGGCCTCCTGGAGCCCCTCTTATCCCGGGTCTCTCCCCAGCGCTGAGCGAAACCCAGCACGCGCTGCTGGCCGAGGCGCTGGAGGCCGAGGCGCTGTCAGAGCCCTTGCAGCTGGTGAGAGGCCCAGATGCTGGGGGAGAGGCTGGGCTGTGGGTGGGGCCTGGGTACCTCTGGGAGGGGGTGATGGGGGGGCCTCCAGGGACAACCTCCCACCCTGTCCTGGCAGGTGGAGAGCCTTTTGGAGCAGACCACGCCGTGGCAGGAGCCCAGAGCCGTGTCCCTGCCACCTGGGCTCCTGGGGAGCAGCTGGGGCCCAGAGGTGCCCACCTGGACCCTGCTGGAGGCATGCGGCCTAGAGCTGCAGGCAGGTGCCCCCCAGGCGTCCTGGAGGCCCGAGGCTCAGGGCCGCACGTGTGCGCTCTACGCCTGCCTGGCCGCTGGCCTGCCCCGGGCAGCTCTGGGCAGGGAGCGCTGCCGGCTGCCGGCTGCCAGCCTGGGAAGATGGAGCCCAGCCCGGCCGAGGCCCGTTCCCCACGGGACTGGGGGGCGTCAATAAATGTGCTACACAAAGGGAAGACGGGTCGTCGAGTTTTTGAGGGGTTCTAGACCTGGGAGAGGGAGCAGCGGTGGGACCTGCTTACCCAGGAGAGGGAGGGATGCGGACCAGAAGCAGGCGTCTCCCCCACGGTCTCACTCGGTCAGGTCACACCGTGGGGCTGAGGAGGGTCTGCCCTGTGCTGACCTGGCCTCTTGGGAGTGACCACACGCGGCTGGAGCCTTGGCCCCTCCCCAGCGTGCTGGTGAGAAGATGGGGGGGCAGTTCCACCAGCACAGTTCTCCCCCTGCCTCAGGGACCCTGAGGACACACCACGGCAGGCAGGGCCCATCCTCAGCCTGAGGGCCCCAAAGGGACCGGGCACGGGTGGTGAGCAGGGCACAGACCCTGCACTCCTGGGGCTGCCTGAGGCCCCCGGGGAGGCAGGGACCCGAGCCCGAGCCCCTGGCCTCCGTCTGCGCCTCATCGGGCACATCTGCTCTGAGGTCACAGGACCCAGAGCACTGCGGGCCAGCGCCCTGGAGTGGCCGTGCGTGAGGACAGATGGTTATTGATCGCTGGGAGTCTGCCCTCCTCCCCTCAGTGGGCGGGGCCCCCTCACCGGACAGGCGGCTTCAGGATTCACCCAAGAGGAGGCCCTGGGTTCCAGGTTTGGCTGGGACATGAACCCCACACAAACCCAGGGTCCAAGCCCAACAGGGGCTTTAACGTGAAAACAGAAGACAGTGCCCCCCAACATGCCAGACCCAGGGACAGGAAACCCCTAGAAATGGACCCCACACGGAGAAGAGGCTGGAGGCCTCTCCAGCCCATTTGTCTCTCCGGGGCCCCGGCCTCCTCTGGGGACCCTCGTGGGGCGACTTGAAAGGCAAAAGCCAGGTGAGGGGTCGGGAGCAGCCCAGGTCTGGGAAGCAGTGAAAAGCGCTGCAGGCGCGTTGCTTCTGGGCCCGAGACGCTGCCTGAGGCCCGGGGCAAAGACGGTCCTGGACAGCCCCCCAAACCCTCCCACCCGTACTCCTGCCCACACGCGGCCTTATCTACACCCCCGCCTGAGCCCCATCTCCGCAAGGCCCAGACCCCGGCCTCAGACAGACGGGACGGGACCCCTTCGATCACACGTGTTTACTTCAGGCTCTCTCCGTCGAGTGGGCCGGACCCCAGGCCTTCCTGAGGGGTCCCAGCCTGGAGGCGCTGCCCAGCCTCCACCAGGCGGGGTGAGTCCCAGCCCCTCTGAGGCAGCAGCTTGGGGAGGGCTTCCTCCCTGCCCATCATTCATGCTCTCCTCGCTCAATCCTTGCAGGGCGCTGGGTGCCAGCCAGCAGGCTCAGTCTGGTGAGGTGCCGAGGTAGCGCCCCACCGTCACCCACAGATGTAGCACCAGGCCTAGGGTGTCCTGTGGGGAGCTCGGTGGCCCCTCTGGAGGAGGCTCGGAGGGCGTCTGACACTGTCACCAAGAGCAGGGACGTGCCGGGGAACGGTGCGGGCCCAGGGCCCCAGGTGTGCACAGGCCAGGACACAGGCCAGGACATGGGCTGGCGAGGGCGGGCACAGGGTGGGGGGTGCAGGGCTGCAGGGAGTGGAGGCCCGGCGAGGCCATGCCCATTCATGGACCTTGCCCATGGATCAGTGTCCCCCACCAGAGGCCGGCGTGGCGGGCCAGGGGCTGGGAGCGCAGCAGGCCCTGGGAGGAACGGGTGGCCCAGGGAGCACGGGGCTGAGGGTGGACGGTGCGCACAGCC